GAGGAACCATCCGTTCTCACATTTGGTATTGCGCTCGGCTGAAAAGCCGATGGCGCGAAGCTACGTGAGACATGCTAATAGCTGAACGCCTCTAAGCTAGAAGCAGTCCTCGATGGAGCACTATCTACCGGTCCGTCGTTAACCGACTACGTATAGTTTATGAATAGCATTGCGACCGCAATTTTGAACGGCCGGACCGATACATCCTTTGTAGACGACTTAAATGCGCTGCGGGGTACTGTAAATAGCAGAGTAGCCTTGCTGCTACGATCTATTGAGGTTCATCCCTTGCAGCTAAGATGTGTTGTTCTTTTCAAACAAGAACACACCCCTCCCCATTTCCATTTCCTCTCTGACAGAACCGCACACGCGGGTGTTTTTACCACGCACTAAAAACGCCCGCGTCAGAGCTGAGACAATGGAACTGCGGAGGGCTGTGCTCTCGACGCGCGACATCTCTGCAGCATGCACACCAACATCATCTCTGGAACACGACGCACTCGTCCGACAACCGACCGTCCGCGAGTTCATCAACCAGAGGCGGTGTTGGTGTACCCACACACGCGGGTGTTTTCACCATGGAGAAATTCACACACAAATGCTCTCTCACGTGTGAGCAAACAGTCTGATGATGACCACCCACGCGTGTCTGTGTACCCACACACGCGGGTGTTTTCACCATGGAGAAAATCGCACACAACTGCTCTCTCACGTGTGAGCAAACAGTCTGATGATGACCACCCACGCGCGTCCACGGGCGATGGGTCGCGACGAAGTCCCAATCAATCCGCGTCCGCACCGCACATCGCGCGCGCGCGGCCGCGTCGATCACGCCAACCTCGCGCGCTCGCCTTGAATCATCAACAGCCCGCTGTCCGCGCGCCGAGTGGGATCGCGCGCGGTGGGTGGGGTCCGAGGCGTGGCGTGGATGAAGGCGAAGGAGACGATGGACGACGACGGTGGTGACGTGGCGGACGTCGACGTCGAGCTTCGCGCGCGCTGGCGAGCGGCGATTGGCGCGGAGACGCCGTACGCACGACTCGTGTTCGATACGCCTCGCGCGCGCGCGGTGCGCGAGCACGACAACTGGCGCGCGCTGTCGACGGCGGCGGCGGGCGACGACGTCGACGCGGATGATGGGTTCCGCGTCGCCTTTAAGCGTTACTTCGTCAGCGATTACGTCTTCGTGGAGGATTTCATCGATTTGCTCGCGCGCGCGCTCGCGTCGGCGCCGAGATTTGGGATTAAGACGTGCCTAGGGGGGTTTTTGAACGAGCTGCTGCGAGGCGAGGCGACGCTGTTTCGCGAGTCGTTGCGCACGCTGTGGAACATTGACGCGGATGACGTAGACTCGCTGCGAGCGATAGGTGATGAAGATGTGTCGATGGCGATGTCGAAATTTCTGCGGCGTATTGCTGATGATGGCGATTGGTTGTCGCGCATCGCCGTCGTCGCCATCGCCGAGGGACTGTACTTGTCCTGGGGACTGCGCGTCGTCAACGCAGACGTGCAAAAAGTCGCGAGTGGGCTTGTTGACGGGGCGAGCGCGGAGCGCGTATTATATGCCAAGTGGGTATGGCCGCTGCACTCGAGCATCGAATTCCAACGCGCTGTATGCGCCTTCGTGGAGGCGTTTAATGACGCTTGGCTTGATGCGGACGAAGGCTCCAGAACGCGTTGTGAAGCCAACGTGCGCGAAATGTTAGACTTAGAGCTGGCGTTCACGGAGTTATTGTCGTCCTCGTAGTTATGTAATCAATGTGCGTACTTAGATCCAACGCACCGAGCGACGCGAGTGTCAACACGAGAAAACGCGTTAAAGGTCACCACGGGGGTGGATGTCCGCGTCGCGATCGTCGCCGTCGCGCGGGTCGGTTCGATCGCGCAAGTCAGTGACTCGCGCGGTCGGTCGCGTAACGACTTCGCGACTTTTGTGTGCTACTCGCGTAAATATTCTTACAAGGGTTTTCGAAAATACAATATGTGCCGAGATATTTTTTTGCGGCCTACTGGTACCTACCGGTAGGCCGACGCGACGCGACGAGGCCGCACCACCCACGCGTCGGTTGCTATAAGTATGATGATCATCGTCGGTGGACGTATGGAGTTATTTCACGCGAGCTGACGGACGAAACCGAAGACGAGCGGCGTTACGCCAGGCGTCTAAAGTGAAACTCGTACGCGTGCGCGGGGGCGGGGGCGAGGTTTCCGCGCCCTCCGCCTAATCCGTTGCCGTTACCGCGGCCGATCGATGCAGATTCGACGCGGTCGATGGCATCGATGGCAATGTCGAGCTGTAGACCTCGGGCTTCGGAGCGGCCGGTGCGGCGAACGCGCAGGAGGACGCGCTTGCTTCCGTTGGCGCGTCCAGCAGAGTGGAGGACGACGTCGTCGGTGTTGGGTGAGTTGGTGCTCGCGGCGTACCAGGAAACGATGCCAGAGTATGTTTCCATCCATTGATCGATGCTCGCGTGCGTGTTGTGGACGTAGAGGTTGAGCGCGTAGGTGCCCGTGGCGAGATCGCCGAACTGGATGCCCGTCTCGGTCCAGTCGAGGCCCAACTCGAACGTTTTGACGAAAGTCGCGACTTGGTTGAGACCAGTTCCGCTCGGAACGTCCGATGGGAGCGGGGAGAGCTGACGAGGGAACAACCGACGGAAGTGAAAGTTGTACATCGCGTCGCCACTCGTGCCGCCTTCGATTCTCGCCTCGAGACGAAGACCCAAATTTTGGGTTCTCCACGTTCTTCGAGTGCGGAGACGAATCAATTTATCGCGTCTCCCGCGACCACCGGCGTGGAGGGTGATTTCATCGCTCTCACCGTTGTTCGTACCGCCAGAGTACCACGACATGATGCCGCTGTAAGTCTCCGTGGCCTGACCGCCGCCCACGGCCCAGTTGGACGCGGCGTAGAGCATGACCACGTAGGTGCCTGTCGACAAGTCGCCGTAACCCACGCCGACATCCGTCCAACCATCGCCGAGCGTAAACGTCCGCGTCTTTTGTATCACTTCATCCATGCCGCTTTTCGTTGAAGTGCTCAACGTGGCTTGGGGATGTGGATACAAAAACGCGCGAGTAAACGTAAACGAGTACGTCGATTCGGAATAGGTGCTCGTCGTCGCTGCAGCTTGGAGCGTCAACTTGCCATTCACTTCACGAAGAACACGTAATCGAATGTATTGATCGTTGCGTGCGTGACCGGCGGCGTGAAGGTCGACCTCGTCGGCGTCGTTGGAGTTTGTCGTGTCAAAGTGGCTCCAAGACATAATTCCCGAATACGTCTCAGACCACTGCCTCCCACCTGCGGCGTGGTTGTTCACAAACAAGGTGACGAAATACGCACCAACTCTCAAGTAATCGTCGCCACGGATCCCGACGTCTGTCCACGTGTCCAAGAGTCGAAGTCGCTTTTTGACGACGACGCGATCGGCAGCGATGGGTTCAGTTCGGATGCTGGAAACTTGCGCCGCCGGGACTGCGGATGGAAGCGAGCACGTAATGTGCGACGTACTCTCCTCTTCACACACCTTTGCATCGCTAGATTGCTTCTCGGAGCACGCATGAAACACATCTTGTACGTGGAAATCACCCTCACTGTCGTACACTCGCGATATGTCGTCGCTAAAGTCGTACACGATGATTGCTGGATCTGCCGACAGCCCCGCGTCGCCGCCGTGCTCCAAGCCCTCAGCCAACGCGGCGCCGGCGTCTTCAACTTTGCTCTTGGCAGAATTCAAAAGCGAAGCCGGATCGTCCGTCGGTAGAGGTTTTATGGCAATGACAGCGCTGACTTGCGTCTTTGGGATTTGTAAATACCCTCCGATACCCGCGTAACTGAAGAGACATTCTTTCTTGATTGCCGCGCTGTAATCCCAATCTGTCCACATCGCGATCAGCGTGTTTGCGCCTTCTTCGTGGCACATGACGTCTTTTTCTTGCAGTGCGACGAAAGCGTCGAGACCAACGTACACATCCTGTCGCGCCGACCCTTGTGGTCCAGCGCATACCGGCCCAGCGCACAACCCGACGAAAAGTTTACCCAACTGGGTGACGAGGCCCACTTGAAGTCCGGACACGACGGCGCCCGAAGCCGGGCTTTGCGCGAGAACCGACGGCGTACCAGCGGTGACTGAGGGCGTTTGAGAGAGCGTCAAAGAGATTGGAAAGTCTATCTCGACTTCTAATTCAATTTCTCCCTTCATGTCGGTTCGGAAGAAGTACGGCATATCGATCGAAAAGTCCAAGTCCGCGACCAACGCGAGGAGTGGACCGGCGATGGGAATGTTCATGACTTTTGACACCGAGTTCGAAGTCACGTTGAAAAAGTCCTTCAATATTTCCCCGTCGTGAAAGATGGAGTGTTCAGCCTTGAATGCCGCGGTGAAAGCGAGGCCCAGAGAAAATTCTGCGCTAACCTCTGTGCCTTTCATCTCATCTAAAGCCGCCATCAAATCAGACGTGAAACGGTCGAGTAACCGAGAAAAGTTCACCCCGAGGTCGGCTGCATCACGTGTTTGTTCTGCAGAGTCTCTCGTCGACGCTGTGGGTGCGCGATGTCGGTTGAATGTGGACGGGTCAAGCAAGAGATCGTAAAGTTGCGAGATACGCTCGAATACCTCGTCTTCTTTCGATGCAAGCTGATCCTTGTATTTGAGCTGTAACGCACGCAAGTCTCGCTTCTCGTCAACGCTCAGTAAACGTCTTCCACCGAAAAATGTGCCGTCACCCAACTTTTTTACGTCATCGATAAAATCTAACAGACCAGTACTCGAAATGGTTTCGTCGACAAAATTGGATACCAACTGCTGGAAGGCGCTCGAAAGCTTCGTAGACACGGTCCTGGGAATGTGCAACTTTGTAAGTTTCGCGCACGTTCGCATATTGAGATGTGGAAACTTGATCAACATTGGGTTTGGGGCGTCATCTTTAAACTTTTCGGGCCAGGGCATGAGGTAACTCTGCGAATCGTAATCGTCCATGCCTTGAAATCCAATGTCAGTGCAAGGTCCGTCGCCAGAATCGTCACTCGCACCCAACGACGCACGTTGAGCCTCGTCACCGAAAAGCGTCGGCGCGCTCGTCCACACGCGGGACTCTACGGTTTCTCCCCGAAACACATTTGCCAAATCCCGTCGCACTTCGACAAGAGCGCGTCGTTTGTCTCTGTGCGCTTGCTTGGACCCAAGGTTCGCGGCGGATGCACTCGAGACGTGATTGAAGGATTTCATAAACGCATCATGGATCGCACCGGCGAGATTTTCGACATCCAAGCCGAGGAACGGGGCAATCGCACCTTCGACAAGTTTTCGAATTTCGCTTTCCAGATTGTTTGCAACGTTTTCGAGCGCAGACTGCGCGTCGTCAATCGCGTTCATCACGTCGTCTGAAAACGCGTCCAAACTCTCGAGCGCTTCCATTGTGTGCGCGCGCGCCATTTGTTCAAACTTCAAAGCTTCTTCATGCCATTTCTCCACCGTGTCGCGGATCCCCGGAACCAAGTCTAAAACTTGGTTTACGTCTGTCGAGCGCACCAAGTCGGTGTACTTTTCCAGACGTTCCTTGGCTAACCTCGTATAGAAGGACACATCATTGCGCGCGCGTATCGCTTTGTCTTTCCAACTATTGACTTCCGCGTGGAGACCATCGACGAGCTTCTCAAGGCCTCGCACCTTCCCCGCGAGCTCATCCGCCTGATTTTTCCACTTGTTCACCTCCTTCTCAAGGTCGGCAATCACGTCGTCCCACCACCAACCCAGCGACGCCGTCGTTCGTCGCGACGCGCCCGTCTCGCTCGCCCCATCCCCGAACCGATCGACCGCAAACGCACCCAACCGTCCCCGCTCGATCGTTGTCGTCGTCGTCGTCGTTCTCGCGCCGGCGTAAAACGCCACCGTCGCCGTGGTTGCCAACACCAAAATCAACGCAGCCGCGCTCGGCATCGTCATCCATCGTCCCCGTCGACCGCGTTCGCGATGACGTCCGGATCCGTCGTCGTCGACGCCGATGGGTAACAGCGCGTCCGTTTCGTCGCCGACGTCGGCGCCCACCGCGCCGTACGTCGACGCCATCGCGAGTGCGTCTGGCGTTGAATGATATTTACACGCGCGCGCGCGGTTACATCAATCGATCAAACAATCCTCGGTTCGTGACGCTCGACTCGACTCGATCCGACGCGACGCGACGCTCGACTCGACGCGACTGAACGATCACGATCGATTGACGCCGAATCGGCGCGCTTGATCGAGACGACGCGTCGTCGTTCGTCGTCGTCGGGGTGCCGCTTCGCTTCGTTTGGTGCCTAATTTGTACGCGTAAACAGTACGCAACGACGACGGGCGACGACGACGGGCGACGACGACGGGCGACGACGAGGGCGACGACACGGATAGTCGCGCGCTTCGAGCGAACGAGCGAGTCATCGATCGAGCAATGCCAGGAGACGATGACTCGAATCACATCGAATCACATCGAATCACGCACAGCCGTCGCTGAGACGACGGCGTAGTCGCTCCGGACGCCACGGTTGCTCAAAAAGGGCGTGACGCTACTGTCCGTGGAGGTCGCGTCCATCGACGACGCAGCGACGATAATACGCACGCTCAGCACTCTTTTACAACGGTCGCGGCACACGCTCAGCGTCGAGGCGGAATGTGTGCGATGACAACGATGCACTTCCTATTGTGCGCTGATAGCACGCGTGTGCGACGAACGCGCGTCTGATGAGAAGACGAAAGAGGGCGCAATTGGAGAAATGAACAATGCGATGTGAACTTCAAGGGAGAATCTATCTTAGTGCTTGGCTGCGGCCTCGGTGTGCGCCGCCTTCGCAGCAGCGTACGCGCGCTCGACGTCCGTGTCGGCGTTGAGCTCATACACCTGGTTGAACGAGTAGGGATTTTGGGAGAGCTTGGACTTGAATACCTTGCCCCCGCACGTGGCGGTCGTGGAACTCATGACAAGTTTAGTGTGCTTATCGTCCGAGCCTTTCGCTGGGATGAAGACATTGGTGAAGACAGCGCCATCAGGCAAGATGAGTCCCTCATCGGATTCGTCCACAACGTTGTACACCACGCAGTTGTGTGCACGAATGTTCTTCGCTGTAACGTTCACGAGCAGTGAATTGGAAATATCAGCGTTCTTCGTGCGAACGTGAGAGACCACGGATGAGGCGACGTGACCGGCGTCGATCTTCGAAGCGAGCACGACGGTGGACTCATCCACCTTGGTGGCGCCGAGCTGCGCGTCGACACGTCTCGCACCCTCGGGGATGCCGAGATACAAACGCAGCGACTTGGCCTCTTCACTATCGCCGAGCGCCAATAAGTTGTTCTTCATATACAGGGCGAGCAAGCCGTAGTCCCACCAATACGAGCCCTCGCCGACGTTTATGGCGCCAAACATGCCCTTGTCTGGGTGTGCGGCCAAAAGCTTCGCCCGGAACGCCTGCATGCGATCGTGATGCGATGACGATTGTTCCTCGGCTTCGCCCTTGGTCGACATAACCTTCACGTAAGCATCCTTACTGAGCGTCAAGGGCATCCAGAAGTGCGGATCGCTATCGAACTTCGCTGTCTTACCTGCGATTTCAATTTTGAACTCTTCGAGCAAGCCGCTAAGCAACGGCGCAGAGAGTGAGAACGAGCCGAGGGACGGACCGACACCGGCGACGGAGCCGAACGACTTCAATAATTCCGCCGCAGTATCGTAACTCACCTTCTCCACCTGCGTCGCCTCGTTCGCCTCGTTCACGGCGATCAAGCCGTACTTTTCCAACCCTCGCTCGCGCCACTCCTCTGCCGTAGGCATCGGGCCCATGAACGCCAGGATGTCCGCGTGATGCTTGCCACTGGCTCCATGACCCGCGGCGGGAACGAAGATTTGATCGCCCCAGAACACACTGCACCGTCCGGCGCGCTCGGAGGCGTACCTACCCGTCTGCCGAATGACTGCTTCAAGGATGGTCAAGTTTTCCTTGC